AACTCTAGTAGTCCTAATATACAACATAAACAGTCTTCCAAGTATCCTGAAAAATCTACAACCAGGAGAAGATAAAATAGATGAATGGGACCTTCTAAGAATCAAATCCCTATGCACATCCAAAACCTTCTCCAACAGGGTAAAAAGGGAAGCCACAGACTGGGAAAAAGCATTTGGTAATGACATGTCAGATAACGGACTTATATCTAGAATTTATAAAATACTTGAGCCCCAAAACAAGATAAATGTAAATAATCCAATTGAAAAATGGGCACAGGATATAAACAGACACTTCAACAAGGAAGACATTCAGACGGCCAACAAGCACATGAAGAAATGTTCAAATTCCCTAGCTCTAAGAGAGATGCAAATCAAAACAACTATGAGATATCATCTCACCCCAGTCACAATAGCAAGATTTAAGAGAATAGCAAGCAACAAATGCTGGTGAGCTTGTGGAGAAATTGGAACCCTTATTCACTGTTGGTGGGAGTGTAAAATGATGCAACCACTGTGGAAAGCAGTGTGGCACTTTTTCAAAAAGTTGCAAATAGAGATACCATTTGACCCAGCAATTTCACTACTGGGAATATACCCTAAAGAGATCATAACTGGCACCCAAGCAGATATATGCACACCCATGTTTACTGCAGCTTTGTTCACAATAGCAAGGAGTTGGAAACAACCCAGGTGCCCATCAACAAATGAATGGATAAAGAAGCTGTGGTATATTCACACAATGGAATACTATGCTGCATTGAAAAACAAGGAACTCATGCAAGATTATTCAAAATGGGTGACCCTGGAGGACACTATGCTGAGTGAAGAATCTCAGTCACAAAAGGACAAATACTGCATGGTGCCACTGCTATAAAATGGGACTGATATCAGGGTTTGGGTAAGACTGAGAAAGAAACTGGATAAAATGCGTATACTACACTGAAACAGATGGGGGAGAGAATAATTTTAAAGTGATGTATGATAGGGTATTATGGTTATCACAAGATTCCACAATTAAGGTTGCATAGTGGAATGTATTTGGGGTGGTGGGAGGGGTGCGGGGAGATTGTGTACCAGGGAGGGAGTTTTTCTTTTACTTTTCAAGGGGGGGGGCGCGGGAAGAGAAGTGCAGCAATGAATGAATGGAAATCCAAGTTCTCTGTAAATGTTCATTAAAATTATTTAAAA